GGGGGCAGAGAGAGACGGAGACACAGAATCCGAAGCAGGCTCCAGGCTCCGAGCTGTCGGCACAGAGACCAACTCGGCGCCCGAACACACAAACCTTGAGATCAGGACCTGGGCTGAAGTCAGAGGCTTAACCGACTGAGCCTCTCAGGCACCCCTTGTTTTATTAGTCATAATCTAATTGAAATTAACCAAAGTGTATTACCAGATTTTAAAATGTAATATAGAAGAATGTTATTTAAGCTGCATTTCTGATTCTGATTTTAAAACCAATATACAGTGTAATGCAGTGCGGACGTCCAGAGAAATGGGAAGCTGAAAATTAGAATCTTGAGGATTTTCTGGCATTGCGGCTTAAGTTAGCATCTTCCTTTCTTCTGGAGGCCAACGGCAATGAGGAGAATAGGGGAAATTTTTTAAATCTACAAATCCCATATTAAGCAAACCTAGGAAGCAGATATGATCCACACACTTCAAAAAAAAAAACAACAACATAAGGGGGTGCCGGGTGGCTCAGGCAGCTGAGCGTTCTCCTCTTGGTTTGTGTTCAGCTCATGCATGATCCCAGGGTCATGGGATTGAGCCCCGCGTCAGGCTCCGTGCTGAGTGTGGAGGCTACTTGGATTCTCTCTCTCCCCCCCCCCCCCCTCGCACCTGTGTGTGTGTTGGCACTCTCTCTCTTTCTCTCTAAAATTACAAAAAAAAGGGGCGCCTGGGTGGCTTGGTCGGTTGAGCGTCCGACTTCGGCTCAGGTCACGATCTCACGGTCCGTGAGTTCAAGCCCCGCGTCGGGCTCTGGGCTGATGGCTCAGAGCCTGGAGCCTGCTTCCGATTCTGTGTCTCCCTCTCTCTCTGCCCCTCCCCCGTTCATGCTCTGTCTCTCTCTGTCTCAAAAATAAATAAACGTTAAAAAAAAAAAAATTACCAAAAAAAAAAAAGCAGGAGTGACTGAAATTCCCTGAGATCAAGCAGAAGGGGTGCAGGAGAAAAAAAGGAAAAAATAAGCACAGAGAGGGACGAGGGAGCCAGCGGTGGCAGGCCTCAGAAAGCACCATCAGCAATCCATACTGCCTCAGGTGATGGGAGAGCTCAGGGGTGCACAAGCCAAATGTTGTGTTTGCGGGCCGGTGCAGGACCCGAGCACCTGGGATGAGCAAGGCAGGCAGCGGAAGCCTTCTTGGATCAGTGTGGTTCAAAAAGGCAGAGGAGACAGGGCCATGAAGGAATCACATGGCTGAGCCGTATTTGCAAGAAACACTCTGTCATGCTAACAGTTTTAGAGACATTAAAATTTTTTTTTTTATTTTATTAAATTTTTTTCGAAGTTTATTTATTTGCAGGGAGGGGAGCAAACAGGGGAGGGCGAGAGAGAAGGGGAGACAGAATCCCATCAGTGCAGAGCCTGAGATGGGGTTTGAACTCACGAACCATGAGATCACGACCTGAACAGAAATCTAGAGTCGGTCGTATTTTATTTTATTTTATTTTATTTATTTTTATTATTTCATTTAATTTTTAATTATTTTAAGTTTATTTATTTTGAGAGACAACACAAGTGGGGTAAGGGCAGAGAGAGAGAGGGGAGAGAGAGAATCCCAAGCAGGCTCCACGCTGCCTTCACAGAGCCCGATATGGGGCTTGAACTCACAAACCATGGGATCATGACCTGAGCTGAAACCAAGAGCTGGACACTCAACCAACTAAGCCACCCAGGCACCCCTATTTTTAAAGTAATCTTTACAATGTGGGGCTCGAACTCATGCTCCTGAGGTAAAGGGTCACGTGCTTTACCGGCTGAGCCAGGCAGGTGCCCCTGGAGGCATTTCGAATAACGAAAATGGCTAGCCTAAAACTGGACTCTTGACCCTCCTTCTGACTTCCCCTAGCACATTATTAGTACAAAGATGCTTTGAGAAAAATGAGGAAATGGGCAGAAAAACCAACAGAGAACACTTACCAGGAAAATGTTGCCATGGATCAGATAAAACTGTGACAAAATGTATTTGCTCACGAGTTTTAAAAAAATTTAACGAAACAATATTTTTTATAAAGGAGAATTCTCTGGGGTGCCTGGGTGGCTCAGTCGGTTGAGCGTCCGACTTCGGCTCAGATCATGATCTCGCGGTTCACGAGTTCGAGCCCCGTGTCGGGCAGGCTCTGTGCTGACAGCTCGGAGACTGGAGCCTGTTTCAGATTCTGTGTCTCCCTCTCTCTCTGTCCCTCCTCCGCTCATGCTCTGTCTCTCTCTCTCTCTCTCTCTGAAAAATAAATAAACATTCAAAAAAATTTATTTTAAAAATAAAGGAGAATTCTCTGATTCATTCATTCAGTAAATATTAAGTTTCTAATATTGTAGGTTGGAATAGTCAGTGAATAAAAGAGACATATCTCTACTTCCGTGGCACCGGTGAGAGGAAAGAGTCAATAAATAGGAAACATAACAAATAAATAAATTATATCACACGATCAAAATGATCAGAGCATTGGGGGCAAAAATAGATCAGAGGCAAGATAAGGGGGCCCTATAGTGCTGGGGGTTGCTGGGGTTGATGTTCATAATTTTAGAAATCGTGATCAGGTAGGCCTCACAGGGAGGGTCATACTTGAGCAAAAACTACAAGGTGAGGGATTGAGCCATGGAGATGGCTCGGGGAAGAGCTTTCCAGGCAGAAGAAACAGCTTGTACAGAAGCCATAAGATGTAAACATGCTTAGCAGATTTGAGAAACAGCAAGGTCAGTATAGAGCTGAATGAACCAAGGAGCACGATAGTGAGGACTAAATCAGAGAGATACAGAGAGACCAGATCATGTTAAGTCTTGTAGACCATTGGAAGGATTTTGGCTTTTACTTTGAATGAAGTGGGAAAACTTGGCAGACAGAGTTCTGGGCAGAAAAATGACATGATCTGTCTGATATATATCTGTTTTTGTTTGCTTTCTGAGAGAAAGAGAGAGAGAGAGAGAGAGAGAGAGAGAGACAGAGCATGATGGGGGAGAGGCAGAGAGAGAGGGAGACACAGAATCGGAAGCAGGCTCCAGGCTCTGAGCCATCAGCCCAGAGCCTGAAGCGGGGCTCGAACTCACGACCGTGAGATCGAGACCTGAGCTGAAGTCGGACGCTTAACCAACTAAACCACCACGGCGCCCCATGATCTGTCTGATCTTTAAAGGATCCTAAAAAGTGTCTTGGATGAGAGAGGGATCTAATTATAGTATGATTGGAAAAAGACCTCAGAAAATGGTGTGGTCTAACCCGCCTCACCAGGCTGGTGAAATGGCTAATATAGGACTTTGTCTAGCCTATTTTTAGATATGCTCGCAATATTTTTAGTGATCTCTTTAGTAATTAGTTGCTCTGACAGACAACACATTCTCCCAGAGTGATCAGTTCTTAAATTATCTACAGATAAATCCTGGCACCAAACTTTTGCCTTTGAAGGATCTCTGCTTACAAGAACCGAGTGATCAACGTGCTGTACTTTTAGTGAACAGTAAATCATCTGATGTGTGAGTCTCTCGGGGGTGGAAGGATACAGGGAAGCATAATGGTTTTTGTTTGTCCATCATCACGTGGATATGTAAAGATTCGCAGGATGGCACCTTTTTGTCCCCTGTATTTAGCGTCACCCTGAAAATCAACACTGGTCCGTAAATTTGTAGCCTGACATAGTAAAGACCATGAAATCACCACCAACGTGGTTTTTCCTTTGACTCCCCGTTACCACTCAATTCCAGATGTATTTCTGTAGTCAGTGCCTGTTCCCTTCCCGGTAACATGAAGTTAATTGAGGAAAGTATAAATAGACAGGAGCAAACCGAAGCGAGTTGTGTTTACAGGGCTCCAGAACTGTATGCAGGACTATAATGCTGCCCGGGGCTTTTAAAAAACATAAAATAAGAGGTAAATAATAAAGCTAAAAATGCAAGCTTCAGAATTTTAAAAAATGGTCACGGATACTTATATATATCTATATATTTTATGGGACACATTTTATAAAAATATTTCCTATTCCAGTTCATGAAAACCTTTACAATATTCTTTGTCTTACCTTTATGCGTTTATTAGGTCACTGTTAAAAGTCAGCTCCAAATATGATTTTCAAAAAACAAAAAACAAAAAACAAAAACCAAAAAAAACCTGTCTTTTGTAGGCAGATCCAATATTGACAAATCAAGTATTTTAACTTGTGTATAATTTCAAATATGTAAAATTTTAGTTCTCCGCCTCCATCTATGGAAGATAAATCATCAGATGTTGGTTATGGTCGGAGCATTTCTTCTTCGTCTTCCTTTAGAAGAGCAAGCAAAGAAAAGACCAAGTAAGAAAATGGTATTTTGTCTGGACTCAATTCTCCCCTCAATGTGGGAGAAAAAAAAAAAAAATTAGGTTTTAGATCTTGGCAACGTAATTCTTTTCATCCTTATAGTAATATAATTCCATCATTGCTTAAAAAAAATTTTTTTAATGTTTATTTATTTTGAGAGAGAGAGATAGAGAGCAAGCAGGGGAGGGGCCGAGAGAGGGAGACAGAGAATCCCAAGCAGGCTTGCACTGTCAGCGCAGAGCCAGGTGCAGGGCTCGAACTCACGAACTGTGAGCCAGGCTCACGACCTGAGCCGAAATCAAGAGTCGGATGCCTAACCCACTGAGCCACCCAGGTGCCCCTCGTAATTGCTTTTTCAAATTGCCACGGAAAACATCTCTGGAAAAGTAGCTAGTGAGACTGGCTTTACGTCCTGTGTGCCATGAACATACACTGAGCTCTGGACCACGGGACACAGTGGCCGTGGGCAGGCTTTGTGTTACTATTTGTAGATGGAAGAGTGCCTCGTGCCCTGCTTCACCCCTGCCTTGATGGGAAAGGGATCGCGGCATGTCACGGCAGTGACAAATGCCTTCTAACTTATGAGACGCCTTGCACATGTAATGTTTTCTTATTTTTCATGTGACTGAAATCGATCATGAGTTTTTTCATACAATCAGAAAAAATAGTTATCATTTTAGTACCGGATTTGGATCTCCCACAGAAGAGAAATCCGAGCCTCCTTCTGGACGAAATACTGCTCTTAGCAAAGGCACCACAAAAGAAAGAGGATCAAGGTAGGGGATGTGTGATTACGTTCTCTTCCTAATTGTGATCATGTCAGGCTTTGACTCCCCAGCAGAGTTGGGGAATGGAAGGGGTGGCTTTTAAATAGGAAGCTTTGCTTCTGGAATCGGCATGTTGTGCGAAGCGAGACTCAGGAGCTGTAATTAAAAACTAACTTCCTTCGTTTGTGTCTCTTGCAACCTCTTTAAAACTTAACCGGAGGGAATTTCTTCTTCTGCCTCTGGGCGAGAACTCGGGTCACTTTGATCACTATACAGTCCTACAGGCACTTTAATTCAAAAACGACCACAGAAACAGCAGTCCTAGTGACTCATTTACAAGTCCAGCCCGGCGTAGAGATCGATGTAAAATGAACCCTGTGCCCTCCCCCGCGGCTGCCTTTGTGGGTGGTGAGCCACACACGCTAGCGTGTGGTTCTCTCTCCCTCTCTCTCTCTCTCCGTCTTCCTCTCTCTCTCTGCCTTATGCCTCCACCTCCCCTCCCCATCCAGCTCACCCAGAGAAACCTCTGACCCTTCAGGAGGCAGCGAGGGGGGGGGAGAGGGACATTGGATCAAGTGTTTACATGATGGAACGATTACAGTGTGGTTTCATGCTTTTTAGGCCTGGCATGTTTTAAACATGCTTTCTGTATGTGTACGTATTTTTAAACATATTATTTCTCTAATGAGCACTTTCCTGGATTCCTCAAAAACCCACGTGGACCTCTTGCCACGCTCCGTGACCCTTTAATTATTGTTGACTTAAGCCCTTCAGAACCACTGTGGTATTGGAGGCCATCTAGCACACATGTCCAGCATCCGCTTTCTAAACGGGGACTGCCCCCGAAAGTCTCCCAAGGTGCAGACAGCGGTTTGCTCTCTTCCTCAGACCTCAGAGCTGTTTGTTTTCTGTTTCGGACTTCATTCTCTACTGTGAGTCTCCGTGGCTCATTCTTCTCATCGCTGCTTCTAATCTGCGCCTGTCGTTCTAGGCCTGATACTTTTTGCCCTTCCCTCTCCTCCCCTCCCTTTTTCCCCCCTCCCTTCCCTTCCCGGCTTTCCTTTCCTCCTTAGGCTTCTCAGCCTCACCTCTACTGCACAGGCAGCTCCTTGAGGACAAGAACATAGGCTGATTGGAGTATTTCCCTTTTCATCCCCAGTGTTTAGCCTAGCGCTTGGTTGGCACACATAGGCCTCCGTGTTTATTCAAGAGAACAGAAATCTGAAATTGACAGGAAATCTGAAATTGAACAAATTGGGTACCTTCTCTTTGCCCGAGTCCCCTCATCGGTGAAAGGGGCGTAACCTAGGCTATTGTGACGATTAAATAAATTAGCACATGAACAGTCCATGGAGCAGTGCCTGGCACAAAGTAAACACTCAACAAATGCTAGTACTGTTGTGCGAAACAGTTACAAGGAGCCCAAATCCACTCAACCCTTGCAGGGACCCTGGGAGGAATCTCCAGGGTCCAATGTGGGAAATGCAGCCATCCCCAAAACGACAGGAGCTGGGATGAAGTCCATAACTGTAGGGTCTCTCTGGCTTTCTCCCTCTCGTTCTCTCTCTCCCTCTCTCCACGTGCGTGGTATCTTATTTACAGACCCTTTGTTATCCTCCTTGACCCTCTGTTGGTTATTGCCTCACCCATAACTGTAGCGTGTGTGACTTTGGTTTGCCATGGGACAGACCTGGCTCCGGTTCCAAGCAAACTTTCCATCGTAAAGCCCAACAACTATCAGGTGCAAATTTGTAAGAGGGACCACCTTCTCTTCAGTGGCCAAAGCATTGGCTGGCTTTGGGGCAGGTGTCTCCCTTTGGTCTACCCAGCCATGGCCCTAGGGAAAAATCGGCTTTCTGCCCCCTTGGTCGGGGAGGGTAGGCACTTGTCTGATGAGTGACTGTCATGCGTATACTGTACCTATCATCATCAATCAAAGTGTATCTTCCCTCTGATATCTCTGATATCACATCAGCTTAAATCTTTGCTGATTCTGCTGTTCTTGGCTCTTTTGCCCTATCTTATTTTTCTTACAGCCTGTCTGGTTCTTTTTTTTTTTATTAATTAAAAAAATTTTTTTTTTTTTTTTTTTTTTTAAATAAAGCTACCGTTGACATTTATGTGCCCCTTTCCTGAGTCCTGGCTTCTCTATCCTGCTGGCTCGGAAACAGTGAGTTTCTAACGAAACTCATTGTTCCCCCAACTCCCAAACCTCCTTCTCCTCCTCCGTTCCTAATGCTGATGAATGCTACCTCCCATGCAATTGCTCGAGCTTTGGCATCATCTTAAAACCCTTCTTCTCCTTACTCCCCTTCACTGAATGAGCCTCAACCCTATGCACTCGATGTCTTCAGTGCCTCTTAAGTCATTGTTTCCCTTCAGTTTCACCTTTACCCCCCCCTCTTCGGGCCTTTGTATTACATCTCAGCACACTAACCCCCTTATTGTAAGATCCTCCTGCATTTTATTTAGCCCTCCAGAAACCCATCCTCCATGCGACCACCACCCCCCACCACCACCGAATCAACTTCCCAAAGTGAAAGGCTGATCATATTACCCTGCCCAAAACAACGATTTCCTATCATCCTCCAGATGAAGTCCAAACAGCAATTGTGTAGGCATGGCAAACGCCTGAAAAGATAAAAGTAAAAAATAACAACCAAAAAAAATGTATAGATTAAATACTCACAAATTCTTTCAAATATTGAAGGCTTGTTGTTGAAAGGAATAGCGGTCTGACTCCCTGGCGATATGCCCCGGGGAGAATAAGTATAAACAGGTGAGGATCCTTATTTCTTCTCACACCATTTCCGGTCTCCTCCTTGTCTCTGCATACTCTTGCCTCTTCCTCCCCACTGAGAGATAAGCCCTGACGTGCTCCTAACATTCAGACAGGTTGTTAGCATACAGGAGAACATACATTTGGATTCGGTCAACACTGGTCCTTGGTTTTCTCATCTCTAAAATGGAAGTGATGATTCCTTCCTCGCAGAGGTGCTGTAAGAGTAAGTGAAAGTGTTTGTCGAGTGCCTAAACCATTGCCTGGCATACTTAAGTGACCCATATACGTCCAGTCCCTTTCCCCTCCTTATTCCTGGGTCCACTGGGGGGATAGATTGGTCGTAATCGTGTTGCCCTGTTGTCTATCTTTTGGTAAGCCCTTCTTGTCTTGTTCCTATGAGAACTTTGGACCCCTGACGATAGAGTAACACATTTTAACTCTACTCATCTGATGATGTCGTAGAGAATGTGCGATGTTAACAAAAAGTTACTGAGAGGTACTGTCGAAAATGACGAGACATCTAGAACCACAAAGTGGCCAAAGTCTTGAAAGGAAGAGAGGGGACAGGAAAGAGGCAAACCAGTTATGTGTGTGGTGGCCCAATACAGACAGGGGAAGTATGATTTGTCTCTTTCTCCTCATGAATATTATTATCACCATGTACCATGTAAATTAAAATCCTTAAGCGACAGTCTCTCGCTGGGTGACTAGCAACTATATTGTTCTTCTGTGCGAAGCGTTCAGCTGTTCCCTCCTTCACGGCAAAACACTCATAGGAGACATGATTGGTTTCGCCTTTATCCAGCCGCCATCTTGATACTCTCCTAACCTTCACTGAATCCGACCAACCTAATATGCCCTCTAAAGCTTTTCTTTATAAAGACCATTCCCCTCACAATAAACACTTACTATACCTATTTGTGAGTGTATCAGAAGTTCTATCTGTAGCATATTTTTGTATTCAGACCAGATTTCATAAATTTTTAAGTTGATTGCACATGAGTTTATTATACACACTTAAAAGTTTATTGCTTTCCTGTCTCTATTTTGTTTCCTTCCAGTCTGTTCATCTCTGGAGTCTTTTAGAAATTTACAACATATACTTAAACATTTCTGCCACTCAATCTTGATCCTCATCATAACGACTTCCTAAAACATTGCTATTTTTTGAAGAATTTCCCTCAACCGCTTTTTTTTTTAACCTTCGCTTAGCCGTTTTTTCTGCCTTCCTCCCAAATCTTGGCTAACTGCAAAAGTCTTTCAGAAATAGATATTGTTTCTTAATCACATTTAACATCTTAATCACGTTTAAATACCTTCTCACCTTCTTTTCTTGAATTTTTTCATTCGTTCAGCAAATAGTTATCGTATTAGGTATCAGGAGTTGTTCCCACGTTAGAGATACAGCAGTGAACATAAACCTTTGTTTTCATAGAACTTACATCCTACTGGGGACACTGACAAAGAAGAAAATAAACCACACACATGCACACACACACACACGTATGCACACATACATCCTTCTAAACCCGGAATACATCGTGTGTCCACTTTATACAATACTCTCTCCTCATCTTTTTGGAATAGACTGGGGGGAACAGGACACCCAACTGGGATAGATTTCTGGAACATCTCGAATTTCTTATTTTTACCACTCATGTGGAATTTATCGAATACTACCTGGTATTGTGATAATTTTTCATAGACCAAAATCTTCCTGCCTAAATTGAAACCCCACGTGGGCCAGCTTCATGACTTCCATTTCTCCCAGCAGCCTTGCCTTATAACTTCTATGTCCAAATAGTTGATGGAATCAAAAAGGAGCAAGTGATTAAACTTTGAAAATGTCAGTACACAGTTTGGAGCCAGACAGATGTCTCTTTCTGTTTAGCTACCTGCCTTCTCATCCACCGATGAACATAGAAAATATCCTTATTGTTTTGGATTCCCACAGTAACTCTCTGTTTTCTGAGGTAGTTTTGCTAAAGTCTTGGTAAGAAAGGTAAAAGTTCCGCTATCTTTAATGGCAAACTGGTGTTCTTTCTGAGGGTTAATTTTACGAGAGTTAATTTTGTAATTTCTTAGCACTTGTCTCCATAGTGATTTAGAAATGGAATTCATTTGGGGTGCCTGGGTGGCTCAGTCGGTTAAGCATCTGACTTCAGCTCAGGGCATGATCTCATGGTTCATGATCTTACGGTTCGTAGGTTTGAGCCCCACATCCGGCTCACTGCTGTCAGTGCAGAGCCCGGAGCCTGCTTCAGACTCTGTCTCCCTCTCTCTCTCTGCCCCTCCCCTGCTTGCGCTCTGTCTCTCTCTGTCTCTCAAAAATAAATAAATGTTTAAAAAAAAAAAAAAGAAGAAGAAGAAGAAATAAAATCCATTTAAGTATTGAAGCCCTTATTGACATACCCAGGCAGGCTTCATGGGAAAGAGGTCCAAATGAAGTACTTCTGTTTGTAGCAGCAGAAACTACAGTTCAGAGGCTCCTATAAATTATCCCTTTTTAATCACTCAATAGGATTGCCCTCCATGATGTGCTAAGTCCTGCGTGCTGGCTCTCGTCTGCTACGTACCAAATGATTCTCCTCTCTCACCTCAGCACACTCAGAAATACACCTGCTTTGTGTTATAGGTGCTCTGAGTCAAGCTGTCCAATCTTATAAAGCTACCCTGTAACTTTAGGAGCAGGTAAATCTAAATATGCTTTTCGCCATTCTAATTGACCTTTCTCGTGGTGGCTCCCAATTTACTAAAATCTTACTATGTATGTGAAGATGTTCTATTTATTTGTCTTGCAAAAAAAGAAATGTGTTCAAAAATTTTTGTGTTATTTGTTTTTGAGAGAGAGATAGTGCAAGCGTGAGAAGGGCAGAGAGAGAGAGAGAGAGAGAGAGAGAGAGAGAGACACAGAATCTGCAGTGGACTCCAGGCTCTAAGCTGTCAGCACAGAGCCGGACGTGGGGCTCAAACCCACAAACCATGAGATCATGACCTGAGCCAAAGTCCAACGCTTAACCAATTGAACCACCCAGGCGCCCCAAGAAAGGTATTCAGATGATAGAGCTGGAAATATTAACTTTTGCTTAGAAATTTTATCATAATATATGGGGAGTACATTTTAGACCCTACTTAGCTGCAGTAAATAGAATATTGAATTAAAAAATACAAAACGTTGGGTATTTGTGGTGATTATAGAATTTTGTGTAATGCTCCAAAAGCAATTAATAAGATTATTTTTTGTATTTCTTCCTCCAAATGAATTAAAGAGAAAACTCACATGGCCTTTGGTTGACCCCCCCCCCCATCCTGTACTTCGAGAAATATTTAAAGATAATTCCTGCTTCTAATTTACTGCTAGTGGAACAAAATGCAAAATAGTTGCAAAGACACAATTTAGGAGATTCACCTGGCCGGGCCCCATTTTCTTAGCTAGGGGATGGGTGTGTGTCTGTGTGTGTCTATATATAATATATGATATATGATATGTGATATGTGATGTGATATGTAATACATAACATGTAATATATAATATGTAATACATAATATGTAATATATTGTCTATATATAATGTTATATAATATATGTTATATATAATATATGTTATATATAATATATGTTATATATAATATAATATAATACAATTATGGCTAAGGTTTATTTTAGTAAAAGATACAATTCAGGAACAGCAGGAAAAAAATAGACGTAAGCAAAGGCTATAGAAGTTCACATGGAGGTTTCCTCGGCCCCCCCTCCAGTTCTGCTAGCGTAACAAGGGCTGCAATTTTCTTGTGAGGTAGCTCCACCCGAGGAAGTGCACCTGAATCGTGGGATCTGAATTCGTATCGGGAAGTTCCAATTTGAATGACGGTGCATTTCTCGGAGGCCACAAGGAAGTGGCACAACGTGTCTCAACTGCCAAAGGCATCAACCAAACACGTGATCTCTCTCGGGCGAAACTGTCCTTTAACAATGAAGAGGGGGAGGTAAAGACATTCCCCAGTGAAGGAACACAAAGAATTACGTTTCAAAAACTGGTTAACAGCCTCCAGGACAATAAGCTGTGACCGCTGGCAATGCCTTTTCCACTGACAGGAACCATTTGCATCTCTGCTACACACGTTAACTAGCAAATTCTCTCGGGTTGAAACTATTAATTAAGAGTAGATTTTAATTAAGCAGTATCTTTACTGTTTATTAAGTACATTTCAGTTTTCGTAAGTGCAGAACTAAGTACATTTCTTTAGGTAAACTTCAGGTAAGTCTTCGCCCCTGCATGACATGGAAATTCTGTGCCATCTGTATTTTGGTTTGCTTTTTTCCATGTTTTGGGTAATTTTTTAAAAAAAATTTTTAAAGTTTATTTACTTTTGAGAGAGACACACACACACGGGAGTGTGAACAGGGGAGGGGCGGAGAGAGAGAGGGAGACATAGAATCCAAAGCAGGCTCCAGGCTCTGAGCTGCCAGCACAGAATCCTACGCGGGGCTCGAACTCACAAACCGTGAGATCTTGACCTGAGCCGAAGTCGGACGCTGAAGGGACTGGGCCACCCAGGTACCCCTGGGGAATTTTTCTTAAAAATGGTGATGCAAACTCTTCTTGCTGAAGGGCCCAACTGAAGCAAGAGATGATGTAAGACTGGCTTCGACTCCCTGAGGAAGCAACCTATTTTCTCCCAATTCAATAAATGCTTCTTGCATACCTACTGTGCACCAGACATCTTGCTAAGCAATTATACGGAAGACCAACGTACGATTTTCGTATGTACCAATCAGGCAGTGTTACCTTGAAAGTATAATGTATAGGCTGCATAATGTAGAGGCTATAAAACTCCATCCCTGTCATCGAAAATTTGAAAACGGCATATGATGTGGTCATTGAGGTTTAAAATAATCTATTTCTGTGGGGTTCTTTAGATTACTCAGAGCACAGTTGGTGTGGTTCATTTTGTGACGTTGATTGCTGCCGTGTACTCTCAAAGGAAAGGCCGAGGGAAAAAAGAGGAGGAAAAAGTGAAGGAGGAAGAAGAGGTTTCGACATTACCAAAATTGATGGGAGAAGGAAGCCCCGAGAAAGAATGGTATCCTCCCTTCGATCCTGACTTCCGTGTTTACGTGTATGAAGTGACCAAATCAATATTTCCCATAACCAATATTAAGGAACAGATTGAGGTCCTTGCAAGGTAAGTCAGTTGTCTCTGTCTATGCGTGCACATTTTCAGTTTCTGAGAAAAAGTTTCTGATGTTAGCAGTTTGCATTTTTTAGCCAGTTTTCAGGTGACTCCGTCATAATAACTGCACCCCACCGCTGACTCTGAAGCAGAAACACAATCAATTGAAAAAACGCTCCATTTCTATTTTACGTCCTATTTCCACCAAGAATCAGAGCGAGGAGCTGGAAATTGCTTCAAGAAAAATGCCTTTGCTTTTGTCATTTTCTCCAGCGAAACCACTAAAGCCATCCTTCAATGTGATCCTAAGGAATGAATCAAGTGTGAAAATTAAATGACTCCGTAGGTAGATGGGGTGCTCACAATTTAAAGGAATCGTATTGTGAATTATTTGTAGACTCAAAAATTATGTTCTAATACAAACAACCATCACTGATTTTTATGTCCTATGTCTGATATTTTGCACTGCACGTTGCTCTAACGTGGGGGTGTGAGTGTTCTGAGGGATGGCTATTTGGGCAGGCTCAACACCCTGCAGACGCCAGTGAGGCTGCCTTCTTTTCCTTAAAAAAATTTTTTTTTAATGTTCATTTATTTTTGAGAGAAAGAGAGACACACAGCAGGAGCGGGGAGGGGGCAGAGATCAAGGGAGACACGGAATCCGAGGCAGGCTCCAGGCTCCGAGCTGTCAGCACAGAGCCTGACGCTGGGCTCGAACTCAGGAACTGTGAGATCGTGACCTGAGCCGAAGTCGGACGCCCAACCGACTGAGCCACCCAGGCGCCCCCGATCCTGCCTTCTTAATTGGAGCATTTAGTGTGAGTCCGCTAAGAGAAACCTGAGAACTTGACGTGGTAGCTGTGAGGGGTTAGGAATCACTTCAAGTGGAGGGTGGCCTTCGCCACTGGCACCAAGAAGGAGCAGGTGAGTTAGGTGAGCAGGTGGATCCTGCAACAGCTGGGGCCTCCGCGGGAGCTCGTACCCTCTCCAAGTTGAAGTGCACTGCACTCATCAAACCTGGATGTGACAACCGCAAGAAACAACAGCCGCCAGATCATTGACTTCTCGTCAGCCAGAACTGGAAGAGAACATTTTTGGCTGCTGGCGTTTTATCGGGTGTCCTTGAGAAGTGATGACTCAAGCAGAACTCTGATCTAGCTCATTTCAGCATTTGCCAGACGCCCTCGTGCTTTGTTCCTAGCGGGAATACTTTTCATCACTCCCAAATAATTGCGGGTTTTTGGGGGTTTTTTTTTTTTTTTTTTTTTTTTTAAACCTGAGCCTGCACCAAGACGGGGATGCTGAGATTTGCCCCCGAGCTGTTGGTCCCCAACACTGAGCACGGTCTGCCTGGCTGGGTCGTGCGACAGCTTTCTCCCCCACCTTTCCTCCTGTTTTCCACCGTTGTTCTTCCTCGCTTGGTTCTCTGCACAGCAAGACGAAAGTTTTTCTTAAAATGTGCAACTCTGCCTCTACTCCAAGATGCGGTATAGCCTTAGTTGACAGAGGATTTTTGTAGACGTGTTTACTGACCTCTTCAGGGAGAGCCTCCAATGAGGAGAAACCCCCGGGCACATCCATTCCAACTCCTCGCCCGACTTATTTTGCCTTCTGCCTTCTTCCTCTCTTCCTCTCACTTTAGTGTTACCTAAACGCCATCTTTCTCTAAATCAAAAAAAAATTTAATCAAATATATCTATATTTTTAAGGTTATGTTTTTATTTTGAGAGAGAGAGAGAGAGAGAGAGAGAGAGCCCCACCAGGGCAGGGGTAGAGAGAGCGGGGGAGAGAGAGACAGAATCCCAAGCAGGCTCTGCGCTGTCAGTGCTCAGAGCCCAATGCAGGGCTCAAACCCATGAACTGTGGGACCGTGACCTGAGCAGAGAACCAAGAGTCAGACGCTTGACCGACTGAGCCACCCAGGCGCCCCCCAAAATAATAAAATTTAACAGGGAGAAATTAGAAAACTTGAAAATATTTGGGGATCCAAAGGAAAAAATTCAATGTGTGCATGTTATCTCTAAGTTCAAAGTCGTTAAAAGAAGGACCGTGTATGTTAGCACGATGCCTTGGATTTCAGATTGAAGCATTTGTGAGTATTTTGTCAAGGGCAAGGCAAAGCTTTAAAACTGTGTTGATAGGAACTTTGTGTGATATGATTTGTTTCTTGTTATAAATACTGCGAAGATTAGCATTCATTTCTTCCTTTGTGTTGAATGACATTGTGAGAGTTTCAGTCTCTGTATGATAGTTTGAATACAGTGAGCCTAATGTTAACCCACTTATAGTAAGTTTAAAAAGTAAAGCAAATTAAGACAGCCAGAGGAAATGCAGCTTTTACACATACAACTGTACGTAGAGTTACACCCAAAGCATCTAAAATGGGATATGAAACTCGATTGATTTGATCTCAATGTCATTGACACAGGTATGTGGCAGAAAAAATGGGTGGTAAAATGTCAAAGGAGAAACTCCATAATTTCAGCTGGGAACTCCATATCAGTGAACTAAAATTTCAACTTAAATCCAATGTTGTGCCAATTGGACAGATCAAAAAAGGAATCTTCTATCATCGAGCGTTGCTTTTCAAGGTATTTGAGATATTTTGCCTCATTTGCCTTTAGATAAAAATGTTTGTCTTTCTCATAATAGTGTGAGCCACTTGCTCACATTTAACTGGCTAATATTAATCCTGCCACCTAGATTTACTTATTTGTGTGTGTGTGTATACACACACTTATTTTTGTGTGTGTACACGCACACACACACACACACACACACACGCACACGCGCGTATATATTTGTCAGACTACCGGAAGCACATTCATTCAATATTTATCATACACCTACTACAGGTCAAGGGCTCTTCTAAGGTCTGGGAATATGGATCTCCTAAAGCGATAGCCCCTGCATACACACTTGTGGGTTCTCAGGTGACGTCAGGGAAAGTTTCAGGGGAGGAAGTGATGTGTAGCCTGAGTATTAGAGAATACGTAGGATTTCATCGGGTAAAGAAGGAAGACAAGAACATTCTAAACAAAGCAAACATTTTATACAAGATGACAGAAATGAGAGTCCATGGTCGACTTGAGGAATGTAGCATAGTTTGTCTGGAAAAAGGAAAGAGGACGGGTCAGATGCAGCTAAAGGGCCAGAGCTAAAGCTCCATGTGAGTTTGCACTTGATCTAAAATCTATGAGTGGCCACTGAAAGTTGTTAAGGGGAGAGCATGATTTAAAAAATACTTATATAGGGGCACCTGGGTGGCTTGGTCGGTTAAGCGTCCGACTTCAGCCAGGTCACGATCTCATGGTCCGTGGGTTCGAGCCCCGCGTCGGGCTCTGGGCTGATGGCTCAGAGCCTGGAGCCTGTTTCCGATTCTGTGTCTCCCTCTCTCTCTGCCCCTCCCCTGTTCATGCTCTGTCTCTCTCCGTCTCAAAAATAAATAAACGTTAAAAAAAATTTTTTTTAAATAAATCAATCAATAAATAAAAAATACATATATGTGTATATATATGTATCTATATGTATATATTTCAAGTTTATTTATTTTTAGAGAGAATGAGCAAGTGGAGGCGGGGGGAGTAGAGAGAGAGGGAGAGAGAGAGAATCCCAAGCAGTCTCCACACTGTCAGTGCAGAGCCGGATGCGGGGCTTGAACCCACGAACCATGAGAACGTGACCTGAGCCAAAGTCACTTAACCAACTGAACCACCCAGGTACCCCGCAGTAACGTGATTCTGAAAGACCATTCAGGCGGCTGAATGGGGAATGAATTAGAGCAGGGGCAGGACTGGAGACAGGAGGACCAGTGGAGCAAGAAATACAGGTGACCTCTACTAAAGCCATAGCCATAGCCATAGCCGTGAGGATGTGAAAGGAGTTGTGAACTTACAGAGAGATTTAAGAGCTAAATGGAAAGCAATTGGTGTCTCCCTAGGTGCGGTGTGAGGGACTGCATGAAAAGAACAAGAAGATTTTCAGGCTCTGGGCGGGGCAACTGTTAATGTTGGCATCGTTCACTGAGGGGGACACGAGAGAAGGGCCAGGTTCAAGAAAGAGGGGGTAATTTTTTTTCCTCCATTGTATCAAGCGTCTGGAATGTAATAAGAGCTGCAAAAATGGTTTCTGAACCGTAGACTGAATGTATACAATTCCTACCTCCTCCCAAATACCTACAAACCTCTTTACATCCATGTGTATCTTGCCTCCAGTTCCAAGCTAATTCTCTATATAATTGGAGGGCCAACTTTCCCTAGTTTCTTTTTTTCCTTAAGTTTTATTTATTTTGAGAGAGAGAGCGAGGGAGAGCGTGTGAGGGAGGGGCAGAGAGAATGGGAGAGGGAGAACCCAAGCGGGCTCCACTCCATCAATGTAGAGCCCAACTCGGGGCTTGAACCCACAAACTGTGAGATCATGACGCAAGCCAAAACCGAGAGAGAACGGGACACTGAACCAACGGAGCTCCCCTTGTGCTCCCCAATCTTCCTTATTTTCTTGGATTTCTTGCTCTAGCAAATTCTTCTCTTCTGCCTTAAGTCTCTTTCTCTCTCTGTTTCTCCTTTAAAATCTAAACTTAAGTCTACAATATTTAAAGAGGAAATATAAATCTTTTCTCAGAATAACTACAACGATTCCTGTATCATGACCACCACCATTTTGAGCTACGTGACAGACACTTGATTAATGCAATTGTGAAAACTCTCAAAGATACCAAAAGTCGAAATTGCTATCCTTGTTTGAAAGACAAGAAGACTGAACTGAGAGAGGGGATTTACCCAAGGTCAGCGAGAGGCACAGCTCAACTCTGAACCCGTGTCTATCTGAATCAAGCCTACCATATTTTTTCTATCTAGATAATTCTCAGTCTTGGTCAAAATTCAGAGTCATCTCGGTACCTTGTCCCTCTTTGGCTCACCTCATTCTTCTTCAGGCCACTGCGGTCTCTCAGGAAGAACCACAGGAATCTATTGTCTGTCTTACTTGGTATGCCAAAGACTTTGTCACTCGTCCTTCTTATTCCCTGACACCACTCTTGAGTAACTTTTGTTCTCTCTTTCCACCTCATCTCAGTCTCCTCTGGTGACCTCTTTCCTCCAACGCTCTTTGAAGTGTTGGGGGCCCACAATGTTCCAACACAGACTCTTCTCCCTTCTCACTTTATGTACTTCATGTGGTGAGGTCACGCTCTCACGTGGCCTTAAATACTAACTAAATGCCGCGGGTGTCCAGATTCTTTGCTCTGTCCCCCAAACCTCTCCTGATCACACATCCGTGTGCCTGTTTACCCTCCAGGCTGCACCTGAGGGTCTCACAGGCACTGTATTAGTGTGATCATCTGCTCAAACAAAATACCGTACACTGGGGGGCCTAACCAATAAATAGTTATTTCTCACGATAATGGAGGCTGAGAAGTCTAAGCTCAAGGTGAGAACGGAGCCAGCGTCTGGTGAGGACCCTCTTCCTGGTTTCCAGTGGCCACTTTCTTCCTTTGCCCTCACAGGATGGATGAACCGGGGGCTCTGGTCTCTTCCTCCTCCTACAAGCCCTCCCAATACCTCCACACTGGGGGTAAAGGCTTCAACAAATGAGTTGGGGCGGAGGAGACATAAACATCCAGTCCGTAGCATTATGCCAAACCGGATCCATTACCCTCACACCTCGGTTGAGTCATCCAATTCATCATTATCCTGATCTTTCCCACCGCTGACATCCCAACCACTGACAAATACCCACTGATAAAATCTCTTACCCTCTACCTCTGTAAATCATTCACTCCTCTGAATACTCTTCATCTCCCCCATTTTCTTCCAGTTTGTTGCCTCCTTTTTGGTTTCCCTTTCCCACCCCAGCCGCCTAGAGAAATCATCCATAGACCTTAGAATTCGCTCACGAACTTCCCTCATCTTCTTGACCCCGTCCTTCCTCTCCCCTGCCTCGCCGGTCCGCCCTGGGCCAGTCTGATGGCTTGCCCTTTCCACTGTGCCACCCAGGCTGTGGAACAGGACGGTGGGGGGACGCCACAGCCACCTCAGGGTGCCCAACTCAGGTGGACATTCAGGTGTCACCCTTTTCCGTCTCCTGGTCACAGGCTTTTCTCTTTTTTCCTCAGCAGCTGTGCCCCACCTCTGTCTTTCCTCCTCTAACACTTTTCATCTCTACCTCTTTCTCTGAGCAGACAACCTTGTTTCCCACCTCACAAAGAAAATCCAGACTTTCAGATGAGAACTCATTCACCTCGGTGGGAGGCAGCGTCGCCCTGAGGTTAGGACTCAGACTCTGGAGACAGATCCCCTGCCTTCCACGTTAGGTCACCACTTACTGTGACCTCCTTGGGGAAAATTATCTGACCTTGGTTTTACTCTCCATAAAATGGGAAATGCAGTAGTATCTATTTCACCGGATTATTGTGATGATTTAAAGTGCCATGGGGCGCCTGGGTGGCGCAGTCGGTTAAGCGTCCGACTTCAGCCAGGTCACGATCTCGCGGTCCGTGAGTTCGAGCCCCGCGTCGGGCTCTGGGCTGATGGCTCAGAGCCTGGAGCCTGTTTCCGATTCTGTGTCTCCCTCTCTCTCTGCCCCTCCCCCGTTCATGCTCTGTCTCTCTGTCCCAAAAATAAATAAAACGTTGAAAAAAAAAATTTAAAAAAAAATAAAGTGCCTTGCCGTGGAGTTTAAGAGATCAGTAACCATTATTTTGGAAAGCATGTTTATTTTTGGCTCTCTACCCCGCAAGACAGTGAGTGTAAGAGGATTCTGGTACCAATTCCAATGGGGGAGGGGTGGCGGGGATCGGGGTGGGCAGTTTCTATACATTCAGGTAATCCTCCGACCTCAGCTGCGTCAGTTCAACTCGATTCTGACACTACCTGCCTGGAGATGATGTCAGATCCCACAGGTTAAGGGCTCAGTCCTACAAGACTGTCCCCTCCCGGCCACACACGCTTCGGCCACCAGTCACAAGTCTAGGTTGTCATCTGTGCCTCTGAGCAACAGATTGGAGGTTCCCCTGGACACAGCCCCCTCAGGGTTGATTAATTTGTTAGAGCGGCTCCCGGAACTCAGACACATTTTCCTGACTTGATCGGCAGTTTATTAGAAAAGGATGTAACTCAGGAACAGCCAGATGGAAGAATTGCATGAAGAAGGGTATGGGGTGGGGGCGCCTGGGTGGCTCAGTCGGTTGAGCGGCCGACTTCGGCTCAGGTCACGATCTCGCAGTTCGTGGGTTCGAGCCCCGCGTCGGGCTCTGTGCCAACAGCTCGGAGCCTGGGGCCCGCTTCGGATTCTGCGTCTCCCTCTCTCCCTGCCCCTCCTCCACTCGCGCTCTGTCTCTCTCTCTCTGTCAAAAATAAATAAACATTAAAAAAAAAAAAAAAAACAACGGTATGGGGAGAGGGCTTGGAGCCTCCATGTCCCCTCCAGGCACACCACTCTCCCCAATCTCCATGTGGTCACCAACCCGGCACTTCTCCAGAACCTCTCCTTTTGGATTTTTATAGAGGCTTCATTACATAGTCATGATTGATGAAGTCATTGGCCACGGGGGGCTGATTCAACCTGCAACCCCCTCCCCTCCCCAGAGGTCAGGAGGTGGAGCTGGAAGTTCTAACCCTCCAGTCGCAAGATTGGTTCGCCTGCCAAACCATCCCCACCCTTGGGGGTGGTCCAAAAGCCACCTCATTAAGAAAAGACACTTTTATGGTGCTCATCACTTAGGAAATCCCAAGGGTTTAGGAGTTCCGTGCGGAAACGGGCGAAGACCAAATGTGTATTTCGTATCATAAACGACAACACCACAGAGTGCCATACATTTGGATACTGTCACGTGAGAGTTGACGGTTTCCCAGGCAGGCTCAGCCTAGATAGGAGGTAAGGCCCGAAGAATGACGACCATGTGTTAATGGTCTTGGTCCACCCAAGACCGCCTGGTGCCATCACGACACAGTACGTAATCAGTAAGTCACATGAATATATAAACAGGTGATTAAGACAACGCGATTCCTGCCTCCTCTGGCTAGGAGCATTTATTGAGCACCTGCTCTGTGCGGGGCTCACAGCCCTAAGCACTTGACACGTTTTAATCCACTTCATCCTTACAACCTGCTAACTAAGCAGGAGGCTCTACCATTATCCCCATTTCCCAGACGAAGAAACGGAAGCACAGAGAGGCTGAGCCCTTTGTTTGCGGTGACAGCAGCCAGGGAGCGGCTGAGCCGAAATTCAAACCCACGCGAGTCGGAGCCAGCCCTCTCAATCCATCATGATGTGGCAAAGAAGTTTCCAGATTATTATTTTTTAACGTTTGCTTATTAATTTGAGAGAGACAGAGAGGGAGATGGAGAGTGTGAGCAGGGGAGGAGCAGAGAGAGAGGGAGACGCAGAATCTGAAACAGGCTCCAGGCTCTGAGCTGTCAGCACAGGGTCCAACGTGGGGCTCGTACCCACCTTATGGTGAGATCGTGACCTGGTCAAGAATCGGATGCTTCAGCGACTGAGTCACCCGGGCGCCCCAGTTTCCAGATTATTTTGAAGGTACTTTGTAAATAACCTCAAAACCCGGACGAACTGAAGAGACCACTTCCAAGGAACATTACACGACTCAGGAAGTGGCAGCAGGCAGCCCCAGCAGAGCAGGACCGTCCCCGGCCAACCAGCTCCTCCTGCTCACGGCACGATTTCCATCACACAGAACAAATCGGCAAGAAATAGGTTCCCACCAATTTGATCCCTCCATTCAATCCCACTGCATATCACAGCCCCAGAGCAGCCTAGAAGCATGGAAAGATTGATGGATGCACTAGCGTTGAAAACCCGCGGAATAGCTTTTCTCCAATGACGTTATCAATCTTGTGCTGATACAATGCCGTGTAACTGACTGAAAAATGTCACTTCCCAGCAGGACCTACACAGAGATTTTTGCGGCTACAGGATCTCGAGGAAGAAGGGAACTTGTCACATTGTATTGGCTCCTATCACAATATTCCACGTGTTTTTTGTTTTTGTTTTTTCTTCCAGCCTCCTTTCTAAGCACTTCTTTGCAAGAGTTGTAGATTTCACCTTCAACAAGACGGGTCTTAGAGCTCAGGATTTTTTTTCTCCCCTCCTCTCCCTCCTCACTTTTGGTCGATCTTGTGTTTTCTCCCACAGGCTCTGGCTGATAAAATTGGCATCGGCTGCTCTCTGGTTCGTGGGGAGTATGGCAGAGCTTGGAATGAAGTTCAGTTGATGAATGAATCTCGTAAGGGACTGATCGGGGCTCTCCCTCCTCCTGAGGTCTACATAGTTGACCTCATGTTCCATCCAGGCGGGCTGATGAAGTTAAGGAGTAGAGAGGCAGATCTTTACAGATACCTCTAAACGATCAAATGACCAAACAGGGATTCACCGGAGAAGTTCATTAGATACGCTTTCTCTGAAGTTCACCAATTGGTTTTATTTCTTTAAATAAAAGTATGAGAAATGTTCTTTCTCTCTGCGAAGAAATGAGGACACTGGGATTGAACTTGGTTGTGTTTCTGATTTCAGTCACTTTTGTAAAGTAGGATTATTGCTAGTCCGAACATTTCTAGATTGATTTTAGTACTACAAATTCCTTTCTAAAAATTTGTGTTCATATTTTTTAAAGTGTATGTCTGTTAAGAACACCATTTAATATCCTTCACTGACCCAAAAATCTTTCTCAAACCTGTTCCCGTGAACTGTTTGCCTTCTGTCCTGTCTTGGATTACTTGAAACTATACCTCCAGTTCAAAACAATTCTGATGTCCTTTTACACGTTTTAATGCTGGGTCACGAAAAGAGTATTTTAAATGTATTTAGCTTAAAAATTCTTTCTTTAGAAACTTTTAAATGTAGAAATCGAGTCAATCTTTGTCAGAAATTGTGTTTTCGGTATTCAGAACAAAATGGGGAACAGACACACATTTCAAATGATGAATAAAAACTAGTAATGGGATGACTCTCATCAAATATATATATCTTAGTCTGGCTTTGAGTCTCACGTTTATTGTAACCGTTTTACTCGAAGGTTTTTAAAAGTCAGCTTGATTTCAGAAGTGAAGGCTGAGATGATTCTGTATGAACCGATGGGTAACTTCAAAGAATTTGTATTTCCTTATTTCAAAATAAAGCTCTTTATATCAAATGGTGGGGCAATTACATTTATCATGCCATTTCATGAACTGGAGCATAGATTATAGGATGCAAACCCGTCTAAGCATTTTCAAGTCTGTTTTGATCCAGAACGCATTTAAAGTGGGTTACAGAGATATATAAGATGTAACAAGGTAAAATTAAATGAAAAACAGGCCTAAGTGTCGGAAAGAAAGTTCACCAGGGCCAGGAATAAGCTTAGAATTCAAACGCATCCATGAAAATCCCATGCATTTGTTAGCAGTGGGTGAAAATTTGACGCTAAGCTCTCCAGCAGACAATGCAGAGGGAAATGCTATCAGTTACATGATTTATAATAGGGTCCGCTCGCTAAAAGCACAAAGCGGTTTCTCAGGAGGAACAAAGACCAGGGAATTTCCTCTTTGGGAGTTTCATACAGATGACAAATGTAACATAGAAAATAACATCTTTGAAAAACAACCTCCTAGTAAGTTCTGAAAAGGGTTTTCGTAGGCGATGGCCTAACATCAAAATGGATTCCATTCAGAGTCCCTGTGCCACGGTCCAGGTAGACATTACATTTTCCAGCCTGGTACAGGCCAAGGGTTACCCCCCTCTCCCCTTTTTTTCATCTTGGAAACATTTGTGTATAATGTCTCTCTCAGCGAGGCTCTAGGTAATTACTGAACAGGAATGAGTTTCAATTATATTTTCAGACAGTTCTTTGAAGTTTATCTATTTTGTGTTACCACGAGACAATACATTCACAATAGCCACACACGGCATAAAATACCTAGAAATAGATTTAATAAGAAATACACAAGAAAAACTATAAAATTTTAACGAGATCTGAATTAATGAAGATACACGCCATTTTCCGTGATGGCAACTCAGCAGTGCAAAGATTTTAATGCTTCCCATATTAATATATGCATTTAGGATCTCATTTAGAATCCCGACACATTTTCTTTTCTGGAAACTGACAAATAGTAAACTTTATCTGGAAGAATGAATGCATATGCATGCCAATAATATTTGAAAGTAAACAAAGAAAGAATTGGTTTCATCATATACCAGGACACATATTAAAAGGCAGTAATAGGGGCGCCTGGGTGGCTCAGTCGGTTGGGCATCCGACTTTGGCTCAGGTCACGATCTCACGGTCCGTGAGTTCGAGCCCCACGTCAGGCTCTGGGCTGATGGCTCGGAGCCTGGAGCCTGTTTCCGATTCTGTGTCTCCCTCTCTTTCTGCCCCTTCCCTGTTCATGCTCTGTCTCTCTCTGTCCCAAAAGTAAATAAACGGTAAAAAAAAAAAAAAAAATTTAAAAAAAGTGTTGCCACTGCCATTAAAAAAAAAAAGGCAGTAATAAATTAGTATGGTATGGACATAAAAATAGAAAAATATTAAGAGTACAGACACAGATACATATATATATACGTATATATATATACGTATATATGTATGTATATGTATATATATACACATATACATATATATATATACGTATATATATATATATATATAGGGATTTAGTATTGATAAAAATCGCTTTTCCACCAGGAACAGGGCACAGTGATAGCCTATTCAGTAAGTGACAATGGGAATAATTTTCCCAAGGGAAGATCGTTTCTATAATGACAGATAAATGAGAAGCCACAGAAGAAAACATCTGACAAGTTTGGCTCCATAAATCTTTCAAATTCCTGTGTGGAAAAATAAACCATCAGCAAAAATATTTCTGTTCAGCAAAATCAAATGTAAGCAAAATCATAGGGAGTAAAATATTTGCAGCATATGTATCAGACATCATGTCAGTGTCCTTAACAAACAAAGAGCTTCTATAAACCAATGAGCAAAAGATAATCCACTCGGAGAATAGTCAAAGACAACGGTGTTTAAGTAGGGACATCCATACAGTGGTAATAAACAGTCGCCAGATCTCAGTAGCCTGTCGTTTGTCATATTACATGTCAAACACAGGTCAGTAAAGGAGGCTCTGTTTTCACACAGTCACCCAAGGACCCACGCTGACAGCAGCGCTTCTGCTTTATAGCAGTATGACCCGGAACACATGACTGTCTAAGCCACTGCAGTGGGGGCAGAAAGTGCTGAGGATCTCTTTCGGGAATTAGGTGCTTTGGGCTGAAATAACAGGTTATTTGGTCAGAACTAGACCCAGGAAGTATGGGGAAATATATGGAACCAAGGAGATGTGAGTTGGAATCCTACTCTGTCACTTAAAAGCCGTGAATACCCCGCAGGTGTTGTGGTTGTGAGGTTTCAAAACAATGTATTATAAAGTATAAACAATTGTTCTCTTCTGGAGGTCAAAGCATTTCATTAAAATTAATACCTAACTTTTAAAAGCAGCTATTAATTGAATACAGAAATGGACAGGTAAATAGAATCCTCTCCCCAGGCTTCCCTCCCCGGCTCTTGAGCAGGTATCCTAAATGAGGATTCGAGTCTACACTGCACTTTTATGAAGTACACATCAGATTTCAAATGCACTAATTCCTTGTCAAAGAAGCACCATTGTCGTCCATGAAAAATACTTTTCCAGATGCTCAAAATACTATGCGAAGTCAAATGGATACTGACCTTTTCTTTTTATTGCCACAGAATTCTTCAAATATGGTAACTTGTTTCTCAACAAGACTATCACCGTGATATTCCTCTGCAGAAGGTGTAATCTGGAGATACGATGCATCAGGAGATGATGGTGTGTTTTCCTTTAGAACTCTCCATTTATTTTAATTTTTTTAATGTTTTGATTTTTGAGAGAAAGAGAGACAGAGAGACACAGAGACACAGACAGAAAGAGACAGAGCATGACTAGGAGAGGGGCAGAGAGAGAGGGAGACAACAGAATCCAAAGCAGGCTCCAGGCTCTGAGCCATCAGCACAGAGCCCGATGCAGGCTGAACTCCCGGACCGTGAGATCATGACCTGAGCCGAGGTCGGACGTTTCACCCACTGAGCCACCCAGGCGCCCCTCCTTTAGAACTCTTCAAAGAAACGCTGTAATACATATACTAGTTGCTTTCTTTCTTCTCCTAACTCAGCACTAATAAGGTAGGATAAACAGGCTCTATGAAAATTACATGGAAAATATCACTGCTTGGGGTGTAATCTTAAAGCAATACAATAGTAACAAATCACTTATCTACAATTTAGTATTTAAAAGTACTATTCTTTAAAATTACCTGAATATTTTTATATTGATAACTAGCAAAAGCTTTGCCTGGGCTTATGCTCTTAAAACCCTGAATATAATTATTTTAATAATAAAAGTGGACCTGACTTCAAAAGACAGCCATCAAAGTGTGAGATGGGAATATATTAATATAATGAATTCAAAAAAGGCTCTCACAGAACTCAGGCAGTACAGGAGACCTGTACTGATCTGCCAGTAAACAACCCACAAATAACCATTTTTAAAATATTAAGTATTGTTGGAAAGGGTAAAGAAATTCTGCTGTGATTTTACTAATGAATTCAATAGGCCCTTATTATCGAGAAGCAATATAATAGCGGGGGTAAAGGCCCAGATTTTCGGGTCAGAGCTGAAGTTAGGTTGTGCGTCTTTTTCTACCTGTGTGACCTGGACAAAGTTACTCAACCTCTCTGTTCCTCAGTTTACTCTTTTGGAAAATGGGGAGACACAATAACAAATATGTGCATATTGTTTCCTATGCGTCAAGAGAAGCTAAGTAACTTATCCAAAAATCACTCGGCTAAGAAGCAGCAAAGTTTTATTTTTTTTTTAATTTTTTTTTTCAACATTTATTTATTTTTTGGGACAGAGAGAGACAGAGCATGAACGGGGGAGGGGCAGAGAGAGAGGGAGACACAGAATCGGAAACAGGCTCCAGGCTCCGAGCCATCAGCCCAGAGCCCAACGCGGGGCTCGAACTCACGGACTGCGAGATCGTGACCTGGCTGAAGTCGGACGCTTAACCGACTGCGCCACCCAGGCGCCCCAGAAGCAGCAAAGTTTTAAATTTGAACCTGATTTGTTTCCAGAGGCTGTGCTCCCAATAGTATGTGCCCAATAATCCCGCTGTTCAGTTGAAAGGCGACCGTGGTGCAAATGACCGATGTGTGTGTGATTAGGGGCAGGAAGGGGTGTGGATATGGGAGTACACGCCCGCGTGTGCGTGCGTGTGTGTACGTGGGTGTGTTTATAGCTCATTTTCCTCACATTGCTCACACAGTGTTCTGTTCACACCTCTTCCTTTAGCACATTTTGAGGGAATTCTTTATTCTATTTGGCTCCCGGGCCAGTCCGTCAACCCTCACTTCCAGTGACGTGCATTTTGAGGGTATGGACAGGCAAGCAGTTATGCT